GCTATTAATTTTTAATGTATAGTTTGATATGAGCATAAAGATCGCGAGAGATCGTGCTCGTTATCCAGAGTTTCTTATTTTCCCCGCATGAGGTCATCAAAATCAGTTCGGATTTGGATGGTCTTCGGTTAACCTTAACCTTAACCTATAAAATGTTTGACAGTTATGTGCAATGACGTGAGCTGTATGCAAAATTTGGCAGCCTACATAATGTTAATAGACATTTCTTCAGAAAGCAGATTTTGATTCGTCGTGTTTATCAAATGGTTTCATGATTAATAAATGAAAAATAAATCGATATCTAATAACGTATTTATACTGTTTACATTGATGGCATAACAATGTCGAATCCAGATAAGAAATCTAACGAACCATATCATCAATTAGAGGAATTACATGGTGCTGACTTAAATGTTTCTGCTCAGAGCACATCAAATTTGCACATGAGCTTTGAAAATGGTACTGAACGATCAATGGAACTATCTTCTGTTGTGGTTATACCGGATGGTATGTTATATTAAATAATAATCTATGTAACACATTTAAACAATATATATGAAAGTATGTAACATAAATTACAATATTTAATCATTTACTATTTTCTAATTGTACAGAAGGGTTTACCTAATTTTAACATGAAAGAAGAACTGTAAATATTTAATGAAGCATGACAACATAACACTGGGACAACTGGTTTTACTAATGGCTATCTTAAGTTGTGTTAATTGCAAACTTGCAATATTATGTCTCTGTTAACAACAGTATATGTTAGAAATGCATGTGTACAAGGAGTTAGGTTTGTACACTTAATAATTTTATGTATTAATAAAATAAACTTTTTCTCAATTGACATTTAAGGAAAATTTTTTTTTATATGTATATATATATATATATATTAAATGTGTGTGTATATATACATATATATGTATTCAATATGTATATAAAGAATTTTAAAAAACTAATAAAGTAATATTAAAAAATGTAAGAATTACTTTGTGATATAAAATTGAAATTTTTTTGACAGATACATTCACTGTTGTACAAGCTATCAATGCCTTAGGCTTTGGAAAATTTCAAGTGAAATTATCTTTATTTACTGGTCTATGTTGGATGGTGGATAGTATGGAGATTACAATATTGAGTATCCTAAGTCCATCTTTACATTGCGACTGGGGCATTTCTAGATATCAGCAAGCATTGACTACAACAGTAATTTTTGAATTTATCAATTTTTTAAAATATCTAAACAATTAGAATTAATTATTGCATAAATCAAATTTTTAGGTAGTCTTTCTTGGTATGATGCTAAGCTCTACTTTCTGGAATAACTTGAGTGAAAGATATGGTCGTAAACAAGCTTTAACTTTGTGTGCAGTATTATTGTCTTATTATGCATTTTTAAGTTCATTTGCACCAAACTTTTTGTGGATGCTGTTACTTAGAGGAGTTGTAGGATTTGCTATTGGTTGTGTGCCACAATCGTAAGTATTTGGTAAGTTTCTTAATAACAAATGACTTGTTTGCTTTACACTTTATTATTATCATATATGTGTTTTTTTTTCAGGGTAACATTATATGCAGAGTTTCTGCCAGCAAAACAACGAGCAAGATGCGTTATTCTACTGGATGTAAGCTTATATATTATAAATATATTGATTAAAATTATCAATTAAATATTAGGTTGGTGAAAAAGTCTTTTTGTTTTCTAGCGTTATGAGTAAAACAACAATTTCTTAATTTATTACTAACAAATTTATTAATCAATAAAATAATTTCCGTCATTATAACATATTTAGTATAAGCGAATGATCGGTACTGGTGAATACCGGGAAAAGAAATAGTGTTCTATCAGGATAACACTCTAGAAAATGAAAAGTTTTTTTTCATTAATTTAATATATACCATTTAAAAAATATATTTGTGTTGCCAGTGTTTTTGGGCACTTGGAGCTTGCTTTGAGGTGGCAATTGCGTTGATCGTAATGCCCAATTTTGGATGGAAATGGCTTCTTATATTATCATCCATTCCACTATTTATATTTGCTGTAATAACACCGGTTTGTAATAAGTTTGGATTATTTTGTCATATTTATAACTTAAAATAAAGAAATTTAATAAATTTCTAAAAAATTTGTTAGACGTTGATTATATTAAATAATATTTTCTTTGCAGTGGCTTCCAGAATCTACAATATTTGATATGACAACTGGAAGAATGGATCGTGCAATTTCGACATTAGAACGCGTAGCTAAAGAAAATAAAAAATCATTACCTCTAGGAAGATTAGTTATGGATCGATTTTATCAAGGTCATCATGGTTGTCTCAAAGATGTTCTAAGTAAAGAAATGTGCAAAACATCTACTTTGCTTTGGCTTGTATGGTAACTATAATATTTATTTTAATATTTTTCTAATTTTTGCGAAAATAATGTATTTAAATAATATGTGTATTATTTATTACATCAATATTTTTAGGATGAGTACAGCGTTTTGTTATTACGGAGTGGTATTAATGACTACTGAACTTTTTCATACATCCTCGGAACAGTGTGGTACATGGGATGCCAACAAGAATGAGGGTACATGTCAGCTTGATTGTCGATTACGACGTAGTGACTACATTGATCTACTTTGGACAACGTTAGCAGAGTTCCCCGGTATTTTCTCTACCGTTTTTGCGATCGAGAAAATAGGCAGACGAAAGACAATGGCGTGCCAGTTAGTGATGTTCGCTATTGTAATTTGTTTCTTGGGCAGAACATGTTTATTAAGTAGAGCATCGTTGACTATCGCCATTTTTCTAGCAAGAGGTTTAATCGCCGGTGTATTTCAAGCTGCGTATGTGTACACACCGGAAGTGTATCCCACGCATTTACGAAGCATAGGTGTAAGCGCTTGCAGTGCAATGGCACGAATCGGTGCTATGGTCACTCCGTACATAGCACAAGTATTTTTACAATGGTCCATCACGGGAGCTATGGCCATTTATGCAACAACCGCATTATGCGCTGCAATTGCTACACTTGCGCTTCCCGTTGAAACAAAGAATCAGCAATCAAATGAAGCAAGTCAAGAAAATAGATAGACATTTTTATAATGTAATATTTTAGCAGATTGACTGAAAATAACTACTTTATCTTATGTTATTTAAAATATTTTTAATTAAATTACAATATATAATAATAGATATACATAATCAGCCTCTGTATTCAAATTTAATATTTTTATGCGTGTGCAATTGTACGATGAATACAATAAACAAAATTATTTTATAATTTCTTGTAGTGTTTGATGACATACATCAAGTAAGATAATACTTGAGTTATATCTTTATAATTGCAATAAAATCTATAATACAATGATAATTATAATGACTAAAATAATAAGTAATTATTTAATAATCAAATGAAAATACTAAACACGTATACCGAACTGCTCATTTTTGCACTTTTTCCATGTGTTCTTTCTCTTTCTCAACGCACGATTATATATCTATTTCAGTTTAAGTACAGAAAGCGTAACATAAAGTGCAGATAAAAGCAAACCCGTTTCCTCATAACAAGGAATAGACTATTTTTGTTGATTTCTCCATGTAGATATTATCTCCACATAGGATTTTAAAAGTAATTTGGTGTACATAAGGAATATAAAATAGAATCAGTTTTGAGAAAATTTATAGAATATTTAATATTGGTTTTTCGAAATGGTAAGTATTAATAAAAAGAATTTTATGAAATAAGAGGTTAGGCAGAGGTTAGTCATGCATGATTCCTTATATGGTAATACAACAGTGTAGACAGGAAAATCCACTTTTATTTAGAAATTTTGTATTTTAATAATTTAACATGTGTTTTAGTAAATAATTTAAAATTTTTTTCCAATTTTAGCAAGATCCAAATGAAGATACTGAATGGAATGATATTCTCAGAAAGAAAGGTATTATACCTGAGAAAAAGAAGGAACAAGAAGTTACAGAAGATCAAATAGTCAATCTTTTAGAAAATACTATAGATGAGAAAACTGGACGTGGTAACTATGTGTCTTACTCTCTAGTTATATGCTGCTTTTTAAGTAAAGTTTTTATCCATATTTGTAACAAAGTTTTTATTCATCGTTATCTTATTATAGCTCTTAACAATCTAGAAGAGAAAACTTTGGATGAATTAGACGAATTGGAAGATGAAGAGGATGAACGAGTTCTAGAGGAATATCGACAAAAGAGAATAGCAGAGATGAAAGAGCTGGCAAACAAATCAAAATATGGAGAAGTGCGAGAGATATCTGCAGAGGATTATGTTCGAGAAGTAAATAATGCTGGAGAAGATGTTTGGGTTGTTCTACATCTTTATAAATCTGGGTATAACAACAGAGTGAATTTTAATGATAAATATTTTATATAGTGAGACTATATATATTAATTGAATATGTTTTCAGCATCCCACTTTGTACTCTAATCAATCAGCATCTTGCCAATTTAGCAAGAAAATTTCCTGTCACAAAATTTTTGAAGAGCATCTCTACCACTTGTATTCCTAACTGGCCTGACAGCAACCTTCCTACAATATTTATTTATCATAATGGAAATATGGCGAAACAAATCATTGGACCACTTGAATTCCGTGGCATGAAATTATCCGAAGCAGGTGATATATTTGACTTGAAAATATGTAGAAGACAACATACAAGCAAATAATTGTATAATTTGCTTTGTTATATAGAATTAGAATGGATGCTGGGACAAGCAGAAGCAATATCAACAAAGATTAAGGATGATCCTCGTCCTAAAGTAAAAGATGTTTTATTTTCAAGTTTGAGAAATGATGATATTGGTAGTGATAATGATGATTGGTAATTCTACCTACATTAGGTAATTATAAGATTGATACAAATGAATGTATAATAAATATTATCAGATTAATAATTTTACTAATTTTATATGTTATAGCACATACATACATGAATTCACCATTTGTACATGTATTATTTTCAAAACTGCTATACCAATGTCATTGATTTAATAAAATATTTTATTACCATGTTACATCTCATTTACAACTAATTTTCCTAAATAAATAAAATATTAATTTTTCTAAACCATATGTGAGAAATTTATTTACCTATTCAGCAACCATGTATGTATATAAATATATAAGTTATATCATTAAAAGACTATAAATAATATAAATATAAAATATAAATATAATGTAATATAAATAAAATATAAATATAAATCAAATAAAAAATATATATAAATAATGATTGGTTTTGTAAAATTAGGAAGCACTTTCAAATTTGTGATTAAAGTTTATATAATTTAATTATATTTATTTTGAATATTATAAATATAGCAACATATTTTTTATGACAATTACTATGTTTTTTATGAAAATTAACTTACATGGATTATTTTTGTCTAACATTAAAATTTAAATTTATTAATAAAATTATATAAATCGTTTTTTTATAGTTTAACCAATATTTTATAATTAATATTTTATTAATTAAATATTTTTATCTATTTACACTATAAATTATTATAATTTAGGAAGAAATTGATTCTTTTGTTAGGAATTAATCAACACCATGTAGTGGTTCTCAAAACGAGAGAAACAAGCATTTGATGGAAAATAAATAATTAACGCTTAGAAACTAATTTAAAAAGGTAATTATTACAAATTAAATATATTAATTTTGTAAATCATTAGAGAGCATGAATAATTGTAAAATATGAAAACACGACATAATGTGACATGATGTAAACATGACATGACATGACATGAAGCAAAAAAATTTGAGAATCCCTGATCTAATGCGCTATACTTCACACATAAGGACGCAATTTTTAGAACCTAATTTCATCGGTCTTTCCACACATGTGTTTGAGAGGATCCATATACATTTGAGTGCCATTGAAAGCGCATAATATATTGCTTTGACGCAGCATGAGTCAGGACGATAATAACAGTGTTTAGAAAGAGGGCCACCTATCCACTGTATTACGGGCCGTATTGTTTACAATGGTCGGCGCCGGTGCCGGTAAGATATTCATTCTTTATATGGTTATCTCTCTCAAGGACTTCTCAGGTTACTTTTTTTGTATATCGGCTAAGAAGCATGGTTTTTCGCTTGAGTTGTCGTTTAGTCGTGCATGCACGAACAATGAGTTCACATCTCTCTGTAATATGGCTAACGAATTATTACAATATAAGTAATTCACGAATTATTACAATATAAGTAATTCCTTTATATGTGTTAGATTGTTATAAGTAATTCATATGTAATTATGAGAAACAATTACGAATCTTCTAAGACAATTGTGTCAAAGTGAATTTGATGATAACATTTAATTACATCTGTAAAAATTATTAGTTGAGTGAAATTTTTGTTTTAAAATAAGAGGTACGTATTCTCGCATTCTTATTTCACATCTAATTATTGTTGTTTGTGCTATCAGCATATGTATGAAGTCATTTATTACTGTGTATGCATTTGAAATGATGAAAAATAGTGTTCTTATTTTATCTTTTGTTACTTTTGAACATTATAAGTATAATTGACAAGTTTCTTTGTTGATAACTCAGAGTTTTATTACACTATTATAATAAATTTTTAATTAAGAAATTGTTTTACAATTTTAGAAAAGTCTGATTTTTGCAAATATGATGGTTTTCGATTTCATTAACTTTTTATTTTTTCTTAAAATGTTTTCCTGATTGTAAAAGCAAATAATGATTAAATAATAATATAAATAATAGTTACATTTGCTTTAAGTGTTTAAGTGCTGGTTGTGCACTTATTGAAAATAAGAGTTTATACAAAGCATTAAAGGCTTATGGTTAATGTTGATTTAAAAATTTATTAAACCAAGTGCTTAAATTTTCAAAAATAATTATGTTTAAATAAATGTTTTTTAAATTGTATGTATTATTTTTATTAATTATTTATAAGATAATGTTTTAATATGTTGTGAACATCAATTTACGCTTAGATGATCGATATTATCTTAAATATAAATAATAAGAGGTTTCATACGATTTATATAAACGAAAAACCGTGGCTAATAGTCACAGTAGATTTTTTAATTTTTTAACGATGATGTAGTTATGTGTCGTTGCGTAATTGTTGCATGATATTGTGCTATGCTAATGATAAGCGATATTGTCATTAAACAATAGGTCTACATACAAGATGTACGTGCCGATATAGCTGTTTTTAACAATAAAAGAGGTGATAATGACTCTTTGACATGACTTGCCGCTTGGGAAATCATGTCAAAAACTCATTTATTTTAATAAAATACTGTTTACGTTTATTTTTAATATTGACACATTTGTACTTATAACATCAGAAAGAATGCGAATTGTCTGCGAGTTATACTAATGTTTTTATTATAGCGCTTAATCTGTTTTAATATTGTTAAATTCACTGAGAATGGTCTGATGCCAGACCGAAATGTTTGAACAATTTAATAAAGACATTTATATATCAATACGTGCATTTTGTTGTGACTTTTAGCTCTTTAATTCACGATTAAATATATGAAATGTGCCTGTTTTTTATATTGTGTTACAATTTAGACTAGATATTAAATTATTAAATTTACTTAAACAGAACTAAAAAATTTATGGAAATTGTTTAAATGTCAATTAGAGACTCTTATCTCTTATTTTAATTATGTAGCTATAAATGTAATCGTGGATATGTCAATATATCGGTAGTAAATAATTTTGCAGTTACATTTGCATAATTTCATATTTTATATTTGTGATATGACGTAATTAAAGTAGGTAAACGTTTATTGTAAACATTGCATTAATAATATTATTTTGTTTCTTAGTTAAAGGTTTATGCGCATCAAAACAAAATATGGGGACACAGAATTGTGATACTAGGAAAAGTATGAAGGATATTAAACTACATTTGCCTTCTGCAGAATCTATTGAAACTATTTTTGCGGACAATACAAGTGTATCCAAGAAAGAAATTATTACAAATCAAACTACATTGCACAGCACACAACTTATACGAAATGTGCCTAATATTTTAAGAAATAGTAACATAAAAACGTATAGAACTAAAACACTTACGTCAGACAAATCTGATATTTCTTTTACATCCAGTACAGAAGATATAAATATTTCTGTGCTAAATACAACATTATCCAGCAATGAATCGGAGAAGGAAATTATAACCAATTATAAAATTGCGTCACCAAAATTATATCATCAAAGGAAACAAGTACATAATCCAATAGATACACAATATGACGTGCCTGATTGGATTAACAAAGATAATAAAAATATATTGCAAGAATTTGATGAGTTAAATACGTCACATGTTTTACAAAGTTACAAAAAAAATGTTTCAAAAAGGAAATTGAAACATAATAAACGTAAAAGAAATTTGTTTAATAAAAAGTCAAAAGAAACAACAATTTGCAAGTCTGATAGCAGCATGGAAAAATCATTTGAAAAACTAGATTTTGATACTGGATTAACCATTTCTTCAGATATAAATATAAAAGATACAGTCGTGCAAAATGCCACTTTTTCCAGCAATGTACTTACTGAGTCTACTAATGGATCTGATACTGCAAAATATATAAATAATTTAAATAACGTTGAAATACAATCAAATGAGTTGTATAATACTTCTTATTGTGATGAGATTTGCAATTTTGAAAAATACGATATAAATTGCAATTCTGTTATTCCTAGCAAGTCAACAGAATTTTGTACATTACAGCCTGAACTTTTCCAAGAAGATGTTACAAACTTTAAAATCTTAAGGGCAAAAGAGGATTTTAAAGAAGAATTGATAAATAGGGACATTGCATCAGATTTTTTATTTGACTCTAAAGTATTGTATACTTGCACTTGTGTAAATTGTACCTCTTGTGACAAAGATATCATATTTTGCGAAGATCCAGTTTCAACTTCTACAAATAGTGACACAGATACAGAATTTTCCACATCTTATATATATGATCCTTTTATTTATGATTATCAAATTGGTGACAATATACTTGATGACAATTGGTTAAAAGAATTTGACAAAAAGAATTTTTGCTGTGAAGAGGTTGAAGAAACAAATATCACAAAGGAAACTGCGTGTATTGACAGCAATAATGTAATAGAGCTAATTGAAAGCAATACAAATGTGCCATCAGTAGAACAAAGTAATACACAAAATTCACAAACTCGTTATATTAACAAAATACAAGATATTTGTGTAAAATCATATTCTCCAGAACCTATTAAAGCCTTTAATGAGCCAATACAATCTTCAAAATCTGCCGAAAATGCGAAAATTCTTGATGAAGCGGACCATATAAATTTAGAAAACATCTTAGTGAAAGAAGACAAAGTAATTTCTCAAGATGAAGTATTTGCTGAAACTACTAATTCGACTGATGAGTCTATTTTCAAATCAAAATTTGAGAAAGAAAATAAGAAAGGTAAATAAAAGGAAAAATAAAAAATAGCAATATACTATAATATTTAGTTTTTATGATATAAAATGTTTTTTTTTCATAATTAAATAATTTTTTCGTTTTTTTTTTTTTCAGATTTATGTGTAATTCAGTGTACTCAGTGCAGAAGACTATTTAACAAAAAACATCAGTTTAGGAAACATTTTACTCGTTGTGACTTCTATAAAGAAGATTTCAAGTGTCATATCTGCGATAAAATATACAAGTAAGAATACAGATAAATAATAAAAGTTTGTTTGTTGTTTGATAAAATGTAAATGTGTTATAAACATGTTTACAGGCACAAATCATCATTTGATCAACATTTGAGGAAAGTACATCATTTATCATGCAATCCAGACCAGAAATTCTATACTTGTAACAGATGTTCAAAATCATATGTTAGATTTCGTGCTTATCAAAAACATTTACTTCTTCATGACGATTAGTATGCATTTGGTCAACATTATCTGTTTTCTAATGTAATCTTTGAAATTATATTGCAATTTGTAAATTGCAAAAATTGCATTTGAACATCACAGATATGCGCAAAGCTTCACATATTAACTGTTAAAATGTTTTTAATTTAAGATTTATGCAACAGTTATATGTTGTGACTAATTTTATATTTTGATATAAATACAACATTTTATGTTGATTGTTTTTTTAAATATTTTTTGTTATTTAGTTATATTTAGAAATGTATTTTTTTCATAATATAGTTTTATTTTGTTTATAGTTTATTGTATAGTAACGTGTCTCATTATCGTATTTCTTATGTATTACAAATTTTGTACCAAATTAAGATTGCATACATAGTAAGTCTTTATATTCTCTAGTTAATTCTGACACAAAATTTACATATTAAATAAAATTTTGATTTGGGATTAAAAATGTTAGAAGAAAGATAAAAAATGCATTAAATTTCAACAAAGAATTATAAAAAATAATAAACGAAATTTTAATATTAAAGAACAAAGTAACTTCTGAAAAAATATGAGGAGAAATACAAGAATTGTGGAAGAGAAATACGATAATGATGAACTATCATTAATCAAACAAATTAAGTGCTTTTATTTATGTTTATTTTTGTTCCTTTGTAAGAGATAAACTTTTTATTTTAATATTTGACAAATATTTTGCTTTTTTTATGTTTTTTTTTAATTCTCTGAAATGTATTGTTAAAATTTGGTATTTATTTTGAGAAAAAAGGCCATATTATTATAGATCCAGAAGATTCAACGATTTATTTCAGAGACATTTTGTATATATGTTACTAATTTTTTTCTATATATATAAATATAGCTTTTATGCGCTTTTTATTCTGATAATACATTATCATTACATTATTATATAATATCTAATGTAATAATGGTATATGTTTACCTAGTATGCAAAATAAAAATGTTTATCTAAGTTTATGTTAAGTTTATTCTGAAAAATTAGAATAAAACGACTTGCCAATGATTTTAAACACAAACTTATTGAAGGACTTTTGTGTGATGTTTATATAATAAAAATTAATAGTTAAAACTATTATTATTGAATACTGGAAATTAAAAGAAAAACAATGTTATAATATTCTTAATGTATAATTTTTTCTATAAAAGTGTAATAAATACAATCAAATATTTATTTTAAAAGAACTTTTTAAAATGTTTATTATCCTTATAATCAGATCTTTGATAAAAAGAAGCTTCTAAATTAATTAATTTTTTAATTGGCATGTAAATTACTAATCTGTAATCTTTTTAATTGGCATGTAAATTACTAATTGTTATCTTGTTTATTATTTATTTGTGGTTTATGCTAAATTGATTTCATGAAATGGCTGATCTATAAAATTATGATTAATTATTATTAATCGTATAATGTGGCTAGAAAATTAATTTTTTTATTATATTGTTTCAGATATTTATATTCAAGTTATATTTACGCTGTTTGCGTTTATTATAAATTCAAATGCAAATATATATATTCTATGAGAGAGAAAGAGATGGGAGAAAAAGAGAAAGAGAGAGAGAAAGGTATCTAGACGGATTTAAAAGAAAATGTTTATTTACTTAAAATAAAAAGCATATTTTGACGGTATCTTGAACTATCATAACTTGTTGAAAAAGAATGATGTGTAGAACTATCTAATTTTACTAATTATATTTCAGCCATTTTTGTAATTCGCGCTATTTTTCTAGCCGTTATGACAGTTGCACGCCGCACAGTTCATAATGCAGAGTACGATCGCTCCGCAATTATTTTTATTTAAGTATTTTGTCCGTTAAAAGTACATAATAAGTGTTAATTTCGTCAGACATGTCGATTAAAGCAATAGACGATTATCAGACACATGTTATTTTGACCGAGAATGTTCGCAATTAACGACATTTCATTGATCGTAACTCATATTGATTGTGGGTTAAAATCGGCACCGTTCTGGTAAGTGCAAATTCCGATGATATTGAGCAATGTATTTTTCAGATGTAATATACTAAAAAATTTAGCTTGTCAGAATAAAATCTGCTATAATATAGTGTTATGTTGTATATATGTGCAATTTGATTAGTGAATCAAATATCTAAAAAGTACATAATTTGCAGGTAATTATTTCATGAGGGTGTTCTCCGAAGATAGTCATTACACGCGTGACGTCATCATGATACTGCAAAATTTGCATGAATCTTAGAAAGAATGCACAAAATGGCTACTGGCGGCTCGTCTTTTCTGTTGAGTATATTTTTTGGGGAAAAAATAGGTAAAGTTTCTTATTTTCAAGAAATATACTTATTACATGAAACAGCTTTAATATATATACGATTAATTAATGAGTAAACAAAAATGTTTTAAGATGCTTTTATTAATTTTGGGTTTAATATCTTTAATGAAAAAGTAAGATTTTATTTGTTTTATCTGCGCTTTTTACTTGCTGAATGGAACACAAAATAAAGATGTAATATATAAAGAATAGCAATATATATAAATTATATGTATATATATAATCGAATAGAAAAATTCCAAATTCTATAAAAATAGATTCGCAAAACTATTAAATTAATGAATTTTACAGAAATTATAATTCTTTCGGATCCATTAATAGACGTCGTATTTTCAGTTTTTTCTAGTTTTCAATTTATATAATTCTTATTTCGCGATTATTTTGTTAAATAGAAATTTCGTAACATTAAGTTTGCAAGAAATATTGTGACTTTTATAGAACTTCATCAAATTAAATTTACTAAAGAAATTTTGTGATTATTTTATTCATTATTTTGCAATATTTAATTATTGTTATAATTTTTAAATTTCGATGTTTTTTGGTCATTCAGTATTATAATTTGCATGAAACAATATTTGTAAAGGATTTACGAAATTGAATTTCGTAAGGATATTGCGAGACAAAACGATCTTTGCAGAAATATTGCGAAAACAATCTTCGCAAAGATATTGCGAAGAAAGATAACAATTTTACGAAAATATATAAATATAGAAACAACGAATGTAATTTAAACGATTTCACAAGTTTCGCAAGTTTAATAAACGTGCTTTTAATTTAATTCATAAATATTTTTGAAATAAATACGCAGGATAAACCGCAATTTTAGTAAGTGAAGTGATATAAAGTAGGAAAATCAACATAATTTATTATTATGTTTATAAACTATTAATTCGTTAAATTTGTTAAAACAAATTCGCAGATTAAATAAATTTTGCATCGCGAATAATTATGTGTAAAGCGAAATGACACAAATAAAGTACAATGGACATATGGAGCTTTTTAAATAAATTCGCCAAGTTGGTTTTACGATAAATATTTATTAACTATTAAATTCATGAATTATTGGATCAATAAATACGATAAAATTGTATTTTGTGAATTTAGCGTCGCGAGTGTATTGTGTGGAGTGAAGTGCAATCGACGTGGAACGTCGTGGGACGACGTGGGACGATGCAGAAAGGCTTCTGAACCTCTTGGAAATATAATTGCTGATAGAATTGCAGCGGAAGATGCATCGGTGGACGTCGGAGGAACGTCGCGAGATGGTGAGTGCTGAATTTCAATTAATTTTACAAGTAATCTATTTTTTTAACTACACTTTTCCCACTTATGCAATTATATACTCTGTTGCAAGTATATTATATTTTATATATTCTTATTATCATTATTTTATATCATAAAATATTATTAGTCAGAAATTGATATTAAGTATTGAACTTAAAATACAATTTAATTACTTTGGGATTCTTTTCATAATAATTAATATACAGTACTGTTATATAAAATTTATATATGAATATATATGACAAATTTATATATTAAATATAATCTCTGTAATTTTATAAACATCAAAATTCTATCTCGTGTGATAACATTCATATATATAAAATATAATTATTTAAATATATTTTATGAAAATATATTTATATTTATATAAAGTAAATGGAACAACAAAAGTGCAGCTAAAAAGAATAGATTATATTGCATATATTGTTATCACAATGTTAATATTGTAGTAATCGCACTGATTTTCAACGGGGAAAATAAAGACAACTACGCCAAATTAAATATTATTAGCAATATGTGCTGTTATTGGAAATTATTACAAGAAGTAGAGGTCAGTTTCAATCTGTATTAAATAATGTAAGCTATGTTGTCTTTATTTAAAAGGAAAAGCATTTCCGCTTAGCTCGTGATTCCGATCACGACACCGTTCTGCGAAATATCGTCTGTTCATCGCTATTTACACGTCGGTTCTTAGTCGTAAATTGTAACGAGGCCCCGTCACGTAGCTCGTCGAATTTACTGACGATCGTGCTACGACGGGTAAAAGGCGGCCTCGCCTTTTTAACAGCGTACGATATCAGTGCTCTAGCCCGTTAGTATATCGCCTCCGACGTTGCAACGCAATATCGACCGTGTAAAACTCATCTCGCTAAGATACCGCGTATCTCAGCGGTATAATCTTTGCGGCCTCGATCGGCATTGTACCAAAGCACAGCGTACAGTCCTCGATAAACTTTAATTGGATAAAATTTTAAACGAGTGCCAATACATTTTCATTATCTTTGCGCATCCAGTTTCTATGGTCATAATAAATTAAAATTTTTAAATGGTAGAAATAGATTATTTGCTCGTGACGGTTTAAATTTAACTTATTACAATAAGGTATATTGGTACATTTTATTTCAAAAAGATACATTTATCTTTCCTCTCCAAGACTTTAAAATGAATTGTGTATTTAAGAAGATCCACTCGAAATGGATATAAATGAATAATTTGTTTATTCTACCTTTTTTTTTATTTTTTTATAATATAGACAGAAAATGAATTTATTCGAGTAATTATATGGTTTGCATTTAAAAAAAATATCCATTTGAAGATAAAATATATTAGTATGTTTATTTAAATATCGTCAACTACAAAATATTATTATCAATATTTAATTATAATGATACTTATATACGAAAAGTTCGGCAGCTGTAGAAATTAATTAAGAACAATCATGTGAACAATATAATTAATTTATTTAATCCCTTTAGATATGTAATTTTCGTTTATTATAAATGAAAAACAAGTTTATTAGAAATTATTTTAACAGTTTATAGGTTCATAGGGACGTCATGTTATTAAAAAAGATTTACGGAAAATAAGAAAACATTGTGTGCCTTGGTGCAAGATGTTGCTAGCACTATTCTTTATAAAATATAGATATTACCCGCAGTATCGATAAGCGTCGATGTGAAAATATGAGAGAAAAATATCTGTATTTTCTAATATTGCAATCATCCCCTTTATTCTGTATCGCTCGTATGAACGTCTTTATCTCGTGATCCGCGTGTCATCCCGGTTTCTCGTTTCACCCCTCGCAAGGAAAGGGTGGTCCACGGTGGCGCCGTATCTGGTCAAAACGGGAACGACAGCTTGCGCCGGAACCGCGCAGATTCTCCCCTGTTCTCTCCTCAGTAGTTGCCCAGACGCTGTCACGGGCGTAGCTGGATGCTGGATCGTCTCTCTCTCTCGCGCGCGCGCGTGCCGCAGGGAGGCGCTTCCTTTTCTTCTTCCTCTTCCTCCTAATCACGTCCCACGTCGCCCTCGCCGTCGACGACGTCGCCGCTGTCGTCACTATCACTCTCGTCGTCGTTGGCGATCATCCCCGATTGCGGCGTCACGCTCGTTGACACGGCTTGGTCGTCGTCTCCGAGAGCAAGGAGAAAGTGCCGGAGGAAAAGGGAGCCGACGACGAAGGATTTCTCCTACCGGCGTGACAAAGGGGGAGGGGGAGAGAGAGAGAGACAGGCAGGCAGGTAGATAGAGATAGACCGAGAAGGAAAGAAAGATAGGGAGAGGTGGAAACGGACAGGTGGACCAAGATAGAAGGGGTAGGTAGACGGAAGGAGCAAGGAATATAGAGCAAGATAGAGACCGACCGACCGGCGGCAGGGAGGTGTTGCTCAAGTAGTGTGCTCTGTGTATGGTGCAGTGCGGTGCTGTGCTCTTGAGAGAGAATGGCGTGGACGGATTTCGCGTGCATCTTGCCGTGACGTAGAAAGGTAAGAGAGCGCCTCTTCATATTCTTCTCTCATTCTATTCATTCTCTATTCGTTTCATCCCCCCATCCCCGTCGCGCCGCTTCGAATCCACGGAATCGTTGGAAAATCATTTATCGAGTTTCACGCCCGATTGCACTTTGCCGGCACGGCATGATCAGCATTCCGTTAATCGGCTCTAATTTGCCACACTCGGAACGACGATCGTCCATCGGTTCGACCGGCGCGACGCCGCGTCGCGCGGTGCGTCCTGTCGCGTGCGCGCGTCTGACGCGACGCGTGCTGTTATCACTGACGGCTCTAAGCGTTGTCCCTCCACTACCGAGCTGCCACCGCTTGTTTGAAGGATTCGTCAGAAATAATTCTTGAACTGCATAGGTTGAAGGCACTCAAATATATAAAAAGAAATTCTTTAACTGCGGCATTCAGTGTTTCATTACATGTTATTGTGTGACAAAATGATTATATTATTATTTTCAACTAATATCCACAATAATATCTTTAGGCATATTAGTTTGGGGTTAGTAAGTAATAACATGAACATTTTCATGCAATTGTCACATTTATTGATGCAGGAAGAAACGAATTGACAAATGCCACAGTTTAATTGCTCAATTCTCTGGCTATTGCTTTTCTAATACAATATAATCTTATTATGATTATTATGATTAGTTTCTTTTTTTCGGAAAATAAATGTCAATTAATTTTTATCGATGGAAATTAATATGTCGAATTAAATTATTGCGTAAGTGATACTTAAATAATGATGATACTTTAATTTAGCTTCAAGGAAGAAATATAATTAACGACTTGTACTTATATTAATTATAACCATACATCATATCTCTTTATTAATTTTTCACGTATATTTTTAGAAACGTAAAACTGTTACCGTAACAGCGCGTATATTTACAGTAACGAAGATAAAAAACTTATTTTCTTGTTTACTTTTTCTCCCTAAAACGTTATATATGTCGTACCTTCTGACTTTGAAATGTGACAGATATAATAAAAAAGATCGCAAGGGTTCTTTCTTGCTCCGGGACCAATATACAAGAACCATGGATATTCGCTGAAATATAAATACCTTACTACACTTTTCACTCACAATCTAAGAAGATGTTTAATTTCGTTGATAAAATTTATGACCTAACCCGTATAGTCGGTGAATTTCACCTTTACTGTCGGCTTTTGCCGCTCAGGGCAACGATAAAAAAAGAAACGTGCTTCGTTACCACATTATTTATGAGGAAAGAACTTATTTATCTTGACGAGGGGTTGTTGGTAGGACTGAGAGAGAAAGGGCCGAGACTCAATAAACGAGAATACCTCGGTATAAACGTGGCGTATAGTAAGCGAAGATCACACGTGACACCGATCGATATCCTCTCAAGTATAATCTCTTTTGCGAATCTGATGTTCTTGTCTCTATTACGCGATGGACGTATTTGATTGTATGACGCGAAGGAAATTGCGTTTAGAAATATTTATTCGCAGGATTTTTTATAATTTAAAAAGATCCGTAGCAGAATATTGAAATTTAAGAATTTAAAGCGTAGGCTAGAAAATCAATTTTTGTGCCAGTCATATGTCAATCAAATGACAGTATTTTGTATATTTTATTCAGCAAATAGTTTTTCGTGATTTATAACAAAAATTTATGCATCCGCTTAATGAACATATGTACATATTCTTCTCTTATGACAGGTATATTTTAATATAAATTTAGAAAAAGTTTATTGATCAGAATCTTTTATTATATTCTATACCGCGTATTGTTTTACTTGTATATCTTCGAAAATTTTCCGCGATTTTCACAATAATAAATTTTTTTATATATATTCGGTTCATTATACAGTTTTCTATTTTAACTCATTCATGCAAATATGACATGCAGAGTTGAAAGGTTTCAAGGGGAATATCATGTAATACATATATCTTTTATGTTGATTTTAGTGGTGGAAAGATATTGAGATTTCAAGGTTATCATTTTTTTAAATATAATTATATTATTTTTAATATAATATTGTAATAAGCAACACATAACGAAAGCGGCGCATATGAGTAGGTATTTTTTAAATTAATGGAATATATTATGGATTTATTGTTTTTATTTTTAACATTAATATGCGAGAGCACATTTTTTTAGCTATTAAATTGTTCGAAAAGTTTATTTTGAATTTTTTAATTAACTTAAGACTTAGGCAAAAACTTCTAAGATAGTAATATGAGGAAAGGAAGGTTTAAATTGACATGATTTCTAATTGTCTGTATAAGTTAGTAATTATTAAATATTAATAAATTCGATAATTTCGTGTAGATTACTTATTTTAATTAGCTTTTTCAGCTAGTTTGCTCGATTTATTGACATTATTATTATTGCTCATTAGATTGGTGATTTAAAACATGAGTAGGTACTTTAGGTGCTCCAAGTAATACGGAATCATGATAAAGATTCCCATAATATATAGCAGTTGCAATTTCATTTTCCTTAT